CGTCACAGAGATTGTTGTCATCAAAGAGCATGTTGCCGACTGACAATGATCTTTTAATAAGCCTGCATTCACAGAAAAATAAGCATGTGAACTGTCATTGCATAAAATAAAAGAGAATTTTTCAAACCAAAAGACACATTTTATTCTGTTTAGGAAGATACACTCAATGCCGCGAACATGTTGACTAACAAATAAGGCAGGAAGCGATGGAGTAAAGCATTGAATATCTTTCCATTTTTCAGGGTGAAATGAATGCAAATTTTAGTAAAAGGACTTTTAAGAGAGAAATTTCCATGATATCTCTTCCCTCCTTCCCATGAAAATCACAATAATCTATATTTTAGGATGTCCCATGAAATTGCAACATTTCATTTATCAAGAATTTTGCAAGTTTTGCTCATTTTCGTTATTACAAYTTATTAATGTCAATTATGTGGTCCACAAGTTGCTTCTATTTTGCTACTGTTGCCTAATGAGACATTCGACTTGTCGTCAGATACTTGTACAATAACATATGTTTAGTCAAATATTTTGTGGAAGAAAATCGATTCYGTTTGTTACAGTGACTCTAAATATGACAACTGGCAGCATCTAAGAAGATTTTGCTTTTTTTCTTTTATAATATCTTCARTTATATGTCTATCATCTGTAAGGAAGTAAGGAACCTTCTTGAGAATAAGCAAACAAAACGCTGCAACAGCATCATACCTGGCTTTTTCCATGAAAAAGTTAGAGCCTCGGCTCCCAACATCGTAATGCTGATCTGAATCCAATTCCCACAGTGCAGGTTTGCCGATTTCTGGCTGATAGTGACCCAGGAACCTGCTCAAAGACTGACTCAGTTTAGAATCACAGAGAACACAATGACAGATACTTGGTAGACTAAACATTGAGGAGTAGCAATTCAGCAAACCCTCTCTAGTCGACAAATCTCTATGAATTAAGTAACATTTATTTTAAGTTTCAATGAAGAAACCAATCTAATACAAAGGACGTTAAGATGAGTGATGAGTCCCATCCAGGAACTATAAAGATGCAAAGAACAGAAGACTGYAGCTACATACGTAATCTTATATTCCTAAAAGACTATAGGAGTAAGTGTCAGAGCAAGATCTTTTTCCACTTACACATTAATGGCATCCTGCTTTTCGGCATCCATGTATGCATTACTGTAGTAACGCTGTAGAGTTCTAAAGAATTCCTGGGACTGAGTTGCTGCCTTCCATTGACCTCTTCTCTGACAAAATATCTGTACAAAAAGTTTTTAACAGAATATGAAAAATCAGTTTGTTAAAATGCTAAATATGTAAAAGGGATATAAAAAGTGATCAATCATAGTTGTCAAATCGAGAATCATGCATAGTCAATTGTAAACTGAACCATATATTCACTTCAACCTTTTCCAGAAAGCTTATTTAACATGTATAAACGCAAAATACAAATACAAGCATTCAGTGATGCCTAAACCAAAAATGCATGGATTGGTCACGAAAAGACTGCATTATCCATTAGTTGCTCTTTACTACATCAAACACACATAAATCCTTCGGTTCATGTGACTATTAATACAAGTTTCATATCAATAAACTCTACACAAATCCACAGAAACAACACATAGTAACTTGGTCAATCATAGATGCAATGGCAATTTAGACAAGATTGTGATTCATATCGTTGCTCAGGAATTGAATTCACTAAAAGATCCAACCTGTTGAATCTTGCAATTTCGACAACTATGCATAAACACATTAAATAACATCCTTCAAAACATATTGTTCAGGGTTTAATGGAAATTCACCTAATAATACTAATCCAATGCTATATCTATGCTATTGACTGACCCATCATTTATTATTACAGTGACATCACATTAGGGATATATTAGCATGAATCATGATCAGCACAAAATAAGACAGAATTGTTAGGAAGATTGTGATGTAATATTCAGTTTAAAGAGAACAGCAAGTGCTTCTTAGGAATCTCCTGTCTAACCATATACCTATATCAATGTATATCATCTCTCGATACTGAAAAAGAACCATCAGTACAAATCAATTAAAGTTTTCCTTGCAGATCACATGCACGACCTACGATAGTGCTGCCTATCAACATCTGTATCTCAATTAGCCTCTCAATTTCAGTTATTGTTTTAACATAATGCATTACCTTATTGTGTGCTGCAGAACCACCATATTGTAGTGCTAGAGTGTCACCCATTTTTTCATAAATCCTCATCAAATCATCTGCTAATGCAGAATCCAGCTCAATAACAGGGGAATCTATATATCCTATAGTATGCAGTTGACGACCAAGTGCAGCCCAACCATATGCATATTGAGCAACATTTGTCCGATCCAAGCAATCTATACAGTTCGTTCTTAGGACCCCTGTCTGAAATTTAGAAGGCTTGAAACTAAAATCCCCACTCACTCCACTGCTACCATGGCTAATTACATTCTTAAAGCTGTCAGCATCATTGTTTTCGGTCTGGAAACAGCAATGGCCACCAATATCATCCCTGCGCCATCACAAGAGGCATTCATGATACTTGCACAGACCAAAGAAGAAACTAGCAAYGATTTGAAAGAAGCAGATAACAGATTGCAGTGCTTGATGATTAACTACATAATTGTTAAATTTCCTCCACTTAAGTTATGCTCCAAATATTAGTAAATAAATGTAAAAAAGATCTTGTTTATTCAAGAAGTAGACTTGCATCTAAACATAATAAATTGATCAATGGCTATCATTTGATAGTGTATCAAAATTATGAAGAGAAAAAAATGACAATAGATCATTGTTTATTAGTAGTTTAGTATATTTCATAGTTAAGGTTAAAAGTTTTGTTAAACTAACACCAAGGAAATAGCCAACTAGAACTTTGATGGCATAAAAAAAGTTAGTAGAAATTACTAACAATAATTGTACTTAATTCGCAATTAAAAACCTTTGATTAACAGAAAGATTGTAAAAACCACGTGAAAATTGTTATGTTTAGGGTTTGTTGAAAATTTCAGTTAAATAGAAGGGACTAGGAATTAACTTTTTTTTTTCATTAATACAGTAATAAAAAGAATATTTGTATTGTTTAGTTACTTTTAGTTCAGAGACCAAGAACAAAAAAGTTGTCGATAGAATGTTCGATCAAAAAATATGTTTAATATGAGGGAGGGGAAAATATATTTATGGCTAAATTTCGGTTTCTAGGATGAGAACCAAGCCCTTTCTAGGACTTGAAAACAAAACCATCCCTTTTTATTTAAATATGACCTACCACTATGCTGAGCTTTCTGATAATAAATGAGTTTCAATTCTTTCTAAATATTCATATTACATTATATTTTCCAATGAAATCACAGAAGTTTGTCGAAATCACGTGGCGCCAAGTGACATCATCGGCACAAATGTAAATTTGCCCTTATAGAGAACCACAAAACATTGCTACGGCTTGGAACCCTAACAATCATTCAACCATTCTGCTAAGTGATGATACCTTATTTACTTGGACGCATTACTAAATAGCTAGAAGCATGATTTGATGCTACAAGAGAAATGTGTGCAGAGTTAGCTTACCTGGAACAGTTGAACAACTCTTCGGACCTTGAATTTGGAATCACTTGACAATAAAAGAAGCCAGTTAGGTTCAATGCATAAGTGGCAACTTTGCCCAAAAGCGCCAACACATTTGTAGATTTGCTGAAAAATGAAAGATAGAAAAACATGTCATTGACAGATTCATAATGTACGAAAAGGGCAAAAGAATTCAGAGGGACAGTGGGCAATGTACTTTCTAGAATATTTGTTTAAATCCCAATGAAGAAACTTCAAACGATTTTCCTCGGGCATATCGTTATTGATCAACTCAATAGCATGCGCAAACTCCATACGAAGGAGAGATTCTCGGGGTCTCTTTTCTTTGGTCTGCAAAACCACAGGGTTGTACACATATTTAAAAGAAACAAGCCACATGGACTTTTGTTATTCAGTAAGACTAAATTTACCTTGATCAAATTCAATATAATGATTGGATTTCCGTATCTCTTGACAAGATTCTCAAAGTGAAGTCTGGTGGCATCATACTTGTGGTCCTTTTTCGACACTAGATGGAGAAGTAAAAGTTAGCCAAATGGAATTGGGAATGTTAATTAAACAATTTAAGTATTTTTTTACTCTTACAGATGATATCAGGCTTAATATTTAATCGTGAAGTTTCCTGGGACCAGAACAGGGGTATTGAACCCCGATTTTGAACGACGGAGCTTATTTGCACAGGACATCCTTCAGGAACATCTTCAAATACGATTTGTTCTGTTTCAACATCATTGGCGACACGACCCTTCTCGTTTACCCCTCGTTTCAAGTATCTATACCAAAATAGGAAAAATTATCATATGAGTAACAGAAGGAGCCTAACAAAATAGAGGATTCCAAAGATGAAGAAATTTTTGCAGCATCCAAAGGTCACTCCAAGGACCACTCAACGACAATAATCTTGTTATGTAGACAATTTTGAACTCTTTGAGATGCTCATGTAAAATTGGTGATACATGCCATCATTTGGCACACATACTGCAATGTGCCACAAATATAGGAGCATACATATTGAAGATGTTATTAAGACATAGATTTAATAGCAGCCACTATCCCTCGCAATAGGAAAAATTTACAACCGATCCATAAATCAAAGGTAATCATACCTGGTTCCAGCATAATGGCGAGACCGTCTAGCAATGAGGGTTAACTTGAAGTCCTTTTCAGCTATTGAAAGTTTGACCTACGTTTCAGGAAGAAAAAACACAACAATCTTTATATTAAGAAATGCATAATCATTCATAAGGATTATAATGCATCTAAAGCATGCTAGCATGATCATACTCCAAGAATTTTGCAATGAAAAATATACTAAATGACTATTTAATTACAGCTATCTTCCTGAACAGGAGAAAATAGGGAAGTTCTGATTTTCCTATGTCTCAGCTACAGTAATAACTCAAAAGACATAACTCATATTTGAGCTACCAGGGGCACATCAAAATGTAACTACGATTCTGATGAAAGCAAGGACGAGAAACATACACTCATTTATGTATACTTACTCTTGGAAAAAAAAAACATTTCATGAAATCTATATTAGTCCCCTGTAGGAGATAAAAAGTAAAGAGAGTTGGCCAGAACTCACACCTTAGAATTTGAATAATGTACCAACATTAATTTTTTACAATAACAAAGATTGGGCAGAAGAAATATAACTTCCCTGCCTTCCCCATTTCTGCTGAATCATATTTACGCTGTCTCTATATATTATTTGGTTAAAGAAACTTTGAATGCTAGAGATACCTGTTTGAAGTAGCCATAAACTAGTGCTACTGTCCAGAGATTATTCTTCAGTTGATTGTGGATTCCGCTGGTTAAGAACTCATTCCAAACAAACATTGTTTCATTAAGGAAGTGTCCTGTCTCGTGAGTTGGTAAGTTCTTTTGAAAACTATGCATAACACGGTAGGAGTAGCTGAAATAGAAGTCCTTGGTAAGATCCACCGAGCATAGGAGCTTCTTGTATCTATTCAATAATCAATAAAACATTACAGCAAAGTCAAGATCAAAATTAGAACCGAGTGCTCAAAAATGATAAAACTAAATCAAAAACTGTTGAGCTGTAATAATATAAAAACAATGACAACACAAAGGTTGCTTCCATGTTAAACCCTGATGATACCTTGTCTCATTCAACAGTTTAAACTAACATCACAACGGCCACAGACTTCCCCCTGTAACTCGCAGGAAGTGAACGGACAACAACACTCCTTTATGAAACCATAATGACTTGAAAAAGAAAAAGAAAAGAACTAGATGTGTGTTAAAATCTGCCATTAGTAATTGCTATCTGACATTTGAGGCTGACAAAGCCATGGTTACAGAACTGTCAGAATGACACTAGGTAATCTATAATAAACAAGCAGACGTCCTGATATTAACATCAAGTAAGCGTACATGCAGTGGAAGGGCTACGTTAACCATGCCAAACTTGCTTATCATCAAAAGGAGCTCAAAAGAAGAAACTATATGTCTAAAAAACAATATATAAAAGATATAAGTTAATAAAGGATAAAGAGAAAACCACCCGAGATTGAGGGCAATGCTTATGAAGATACATATGAATAAAAAGTAGTTCTGACTTCTAATAGCTTTGCATCCCCTTAAAAGTACCAAGTACATTTTACATTTACACACAGAATTGACGAAAGACCTGTTCTCATTCTTAGAGTAAGCCACACTGGGTTGAACAGTAGAATTGGGAATTGGTAAGATCTCGCTCTTGGTAATTGCATATACTGCGTGACCACAGATTACACCAATCTTCCTCCTTTTTGTAATTAGCAGCATGTAATAAGGTCCCAAAAACTTTATGAAGCCTAAAATCACCCATAAAAAATTATCTGTGAGAACCACTCATTATATAAAATGTCTGTTGACTTGAAAAAAACATCAAAATAGAGCATACCAACAATTCCATAACAAGTAGTAACAAATCTAAGTCCCCCTGTGGACTTGTTTCCATCATGAATACGCTTTAGCAGGTCACAGCATTCAATTTCTGTATATGTCGTAGAATCTTCAGTAATATTTAGCTCGGCAGGTTCTGACCTGTCAATCTTTAACACTCTCCAAACTGATCTATTCTTACTCCGTCCAATCATATAAAAGTTCTGTAAGAGGCAAAAAATTTGTTTATGATCAGCATGCAGCTACCAATCACATAAGGATCAGATCAAGTTAAAGAAAAGACAGAATAATGGAGAAGAAGAACTCAAATCACCAAGGAAGGAATTATTTTGGCATGTAGTGATAGATTCTATGGCACATAGCAAAGATAAAAAGTAGTACTGCAAGTTATTCAATTATTTTGGTGTATTACATAAACAAGTGCTCTATAGACAGCTTTAAAAAGAATTTATGGGACAGAAGAATGATTCAGAGCTAACATCAGAACCGAAAAGGTAAGGACATCGACGATGAAGGAAGCCGGTACACTGACTGCTTGGAAGTGATTGGATTTGACAGATAAGAAGTTGTTTTAATCTTGATTTGGAAAGCCAAGGGGCTGCACATAGTTACATTCTTCCTACCCGAGATTTGGATAACATGTCAGGTATCAAGCTATTGAATCATATATTGTAACATTTGCTTCAAATTTCTCAAAAGATTTGTAAATGTGTACATTGAATGATGAAGGCATACTTTAGATTAATTAATCAAATAGTAGGATTATATAGGATGGCAATCCAAGGCAGAAAATGTGGTTCAAATCCACATTATCATTTTAAAGTTGCTGCTTGTTCAGAACATGTACCTAAAAGGTGTATATTACATTATTACAATAAAGATAAAGTAGCCTAAACATATTTTGATTTAGCTAATCAAGATTGTTTTGAATTCTCTAAACAGTTTGTGAAACGTTCTTGGTTTGAGAAAGAAGAAACAAAGCAAAACCAAAAGATGAAGAGTGAATGTAGACAGCATGAAACCCATGGTGCGATGAAGATGGAGAAACCACAGTAAAAGTTACAGGAGATACATGGATAGTATTGATATTGATTCATCATTATGTAGCTCAGAAGAGATGGCACAAAATCCTTGGAGAGTCATGACCATGTATGCACATGGATATCATCAATGAACATGTAGTGCTGAAGAAACATATATTGAATAAAGTCCAGAATCTATAATTTAGTCTCTCCCGGGAAATGATGTGATTTTGATTAGATCTAAGCGTCCTCATATAAAAGTAACAGTAAGGGCAACATAACTTTGCTACCTTTCACATGCGTAAGACTAGAGAATCTAAGTCGAATGGCATAATAAAGAGAGAAAATGTTTGACAAGATTTAAGGTGGTATGGTTTAAGGTTGAAAACCGCAGCGCATGGAGCGACGACGCATCTGTTGACATACAAGCAAAAACTTGATATGGTAATGGTACTATCATGATGGATCAATCCAGCAAATGTTTGTGTGACAGTGTTGTTGAAGCAATGAAAGCCAGCTTGATGGGTATATATATATTCGTAAACAAAACAAAACAAAACAGAGTGCAGCGAGTAAAGGTAGAAAGCACAAGACTGAATCTAGAAACAGATTTGATTTGATTGATATAAAGTAGTAATAGCATAGCAGGTTAATCTGGTTGAAGTGAAAAAGAGAAAGTGGGAAGAGTAGTTAGTTGTAAGAAAGAGGGAAGAAATTATACAGAGCGAGTCTCGTAAAGTCGGAATTTTTGCAGATAGGAATTGATAAGTTTGGGGAGGTGTGCGATGCAATCTTGTTGATGAGCCATTGTTGGGGATCCAGCCAGGGGGCTATATCAAGTTGAAAGATATAATTGGGATGGTGGACATGATGAGGATGTTGGAAGAGATCCGCCGATAACGGAGGAGGATGAGAGCTCCGGCGACTGTATCCACATAAAATTAAAAGAAGAAAAGAAAAGATATGAAAATGGAGATTGTATTATTGAGGTTGAGATGGAGGAAGAAGGAAACGTTGGCTTGCTTGTTGCTTGCTGTATTATATTTATTTTTTCATAAAAAATTAAATACTTATTTTTCACAACTATGAAATTGAAAGCTTATATTTGATTTGGTTTTGGTTTATATAAAATTAAAATAAATTCAGTTGCGTGTTTTATGTTATACCTTTATTTATTAGGATAACTATAAAATATCAGCATAAAAATATGGTAAATAAAATATGGAGAAGACGTGTCCACGTGGGCATGGGAAGGTCCTGGTGACGTGTCCTAGTTTTGCTGTCACTTAGCTGTCACATTTCCCAACTCAACACTTTGATTTTTTTTAGTTTGTTTAGTAATGTTGACATGATATGATATGATATGATAATATGAGAACGTTTTTGGGTTAATTATATCATTAAAATATTATTTTCTTTTTTATCTCCGAAACAATAATAAATATATATTTTCTTGCTTATTGACAATGATTTCTGTCTAAAAAAACTCTTATTAAACTTTTATAATGTCTTTATTTTACTATTTTTATAAACAAAGTTTAAAAGATTTTTATCTAATAATATAAGCACATCAAGTTTACATATTTATCTCATAAAATCTAAACTATAATTATTTGTTATTTAAACAAGGGGGTTTTAGTTTCTCTAATTTTGTATTTGTATTTGTATTATAAAGAATGAAGATGTTGAATACAACTTATATGTGAGGTAACTCATAATCAATTGATGAATATTAAATTATAATAAAATACTCCTTAACCAAGAAAAAGATTGATTAGTGAAGAGAATAAACAATTATATGTTGCTCTAAAACAAAGCAAAACTATTTTACTTTTTAATAACCACCAATTTTATAATCAATTTGTCAATATCTAATCATTAATCAATGTATATATATGACTTTTCATACAATTTATGTTTTTTGATTTATATTGTGAAACAAATATATGTTAATTAAACTTGTGATTTTTAATATTAGGCTTATAAAAAACTATATAAAATAACACAAACTAAGTTGGTTATTAAAATTCTCATATAATTATATATATATATATATATATATATTGAGTATATAATTCAATCGTCAAAAACGTGGTGGAAAAGGATTTTTCCTTTTTCTTATATAAAATTGAAGAATGGGACCATTAGTTATATTTATTTATTGTATTCATGTGGAAATATAAAAATGACAAGGGAAAGAGACCGATGCTTAATAATTGATTTTTGTTGAAACATGGCAACTTTTATTTATGCAATTCCTACTATTCCTACCTTTTTTTTTTTGAAATTTAATTAAATGATTAAGTAATTAGAGGATTCATAAACCTTATTAACCATCATCTAGCTTATCAGTTAGATTGTCAAATTAAAAATAAATAAATGATGAGGATGGTTTTTAATTTATTATAAAGTTTGGTATAACAAAATATTGTAAGCATGCAAAGGATGATAACAAAGAAAGACACTATGATCCTTCAAATCAAAATAAAAATCTTATAATGATTTATAAGATGTAACTCATAATTACTACAAAAATTATATATTATTTTATAATAGTGTCTTTTTTATTCATCAATTTTATATATGTATATGATTAACAATTAAAAAATTATTTAGAATTAAAGGTCATATTTCGAATAAAGTTAAGTCGATATTCTAATAACTCATGGCACAAGATAATAGATATATAGAGTAGAATTATTTTGTTTGGTGAAAAATGTAATAAACTGAAAAAGAGGGACATGTTTTGGCAATACGCAAAAGATTAATTTGGCAACTTTTAAATGCAAAATTGATGGTCAGTATTTGCATGTTATAACCAGGGGCACCCATCCAAATTCCTAAATTAAATAAATAAAAACAAACTGAAACACTTCAAATTAAATCATATATGAAATGGCAAAGTATAAGACGCAATTTGGTTTGCAAAATTCGAAAAAATTTGATGGAATTGAAATGACAATTTTTTTAACCAAATTCTAATTTATTTGGTTGGTTTATTTCTTGAAATGGATGAAATCTTTCAAATGCCATTTAATTCCACGTATTAATGAATTCATCATTCATTGGTATAATGGAAGGAATTGAATTCTATTATCACCTACCACGATTATGCTACTATTGTTCGTCATACCCCATCCCTAACCGTCCCACCATCAGGGGCCCAAAATTTTCCGATACAATAGTAGTTTAAAAGAATTTAATAAATTAAAGCAACCCAAAAATTGTAGCATATAATTACAGGCAAAAATAATTTAGTAGATAATAAGGGTCCAAAAACATATCAACTAATTACATTAAAGAAGAAAATTTGATCATTCATTATATGCTATTGTTTATTGTTTTTCTAATTTTTTTATCTCCAACAAAGTATAATGATATTGGCTATTGTTATCTCTATATGCTTGATTGTTTTTGTGCTTCAACAATTTAACGTTAAGATCATGTGCTTGCTATTGCTATATATTTTTGTTGGATATTTTTATCAATTTCTGCTTCTATTGACTATTGTTATTTGGTTATATTGTTCAAATTGTTTTTGTTGACTATTGTTATCTATTTTTGCCTACATAAAATATTTTACTATTGTTTGACAATCAATCTATTGTTCTTATAATTTATGACGTGTTTCATGGTTTTGTGATTAATCAATAAATAAATTTTTTCTAGTAGATGTATTTAGTAATGTCTCTTATATATGTCATGTTACATAAACTTTTAATCTTAACATCTTATTTTACTTGAGCAAAAAAAAAAAAATTGAATTTAAATATGAAAATCAATTGTTTGACTTATATATCTTTCATTGAGATTCCGCCACACTACAAGATTCTATTCAAATGCTCAATCATTTGTTGAGCTTGCATATTATATGTTTTATTTATTATTTATTCTTATTGGATCTATAATGATTATCTTTTCTTTCATATTCTTATTGATCTTCATTTGTCTACTTGTCTAGAAAACCTTGATAATTTTTGTTATTATTGATCTCTCATTGACCCTCACGATTACTTCATTTAAGTACATTTATATAACTATAATAAAGATAAATAAGATTTCTTTTTTCAGTAAATTATTAGCATTTCTTGTACTTAATTTTATACTAATGAAGAACATTTATAGAATTTTTTTTTGTACTTATTGAGGGTCACTACAAGAAAAGTGAGTTTTGACGATGCGCCTTTTAACGATGACATGTTTCCGCCACGAGTTATGGCAACGACATGTTGTTATATACTCTTTCTGATGACAATGGACTTTTAGTGACGACAAAAGTCGTTGCTAGAAACCTTGTTTCTTGTAGTGGGCCATGTTTTTACGTTCGTCTATGACCTATAAAATGTCAGGAACGGGCATGCCCATCGACCAACTCATATGGTGCCATCTACCTCGTCCAACCCATCTTCCACAAAGAAAAAAAAAACATCATGCAAGTTTTTTTTTTTTTTTTTAAGTATAATAGCTTTTGGATTTGAGATAAAATTTTAGGTTTTGAATTACAGGTTATTTTATAGAGAAGATTGAGGGTTTATCACGCTCTTGATGGTTAGAGGAGATAACGTTAATGATAAAAATGTAAAATGGAGAAGAATGGTAAAATGTGCATGGCCTCGTAAGTTAAAGGCGATGATAAGGGAGAGATCGAGGGATCAAATCCAAAACAAAATGCAAACCCAAAGGTTTTTTTTGTAGTAAATGAAGTTGAGGAATGGATAGCCATAAACCATATGGACAAAATCGATAATTGAGTGGAGATATATAAATCAAGTTATTAGTTACTTGTAAAGGATTGGAAATTTCCATAGAAAAAGAAGTTGCAGTGATGCATATTATTTTAAGATTAGTTTTGAGGATGTGTATAAAAATATGAAATTGAAGGATAAGAAGGATGTGTTACATGTTACATGTAACATGTATGTTTGCATTTGAAAGTCGATGCATGCCAGATTCTTTAAAATCAGGAAAATACGTCAACTTCTACGGCCCCTCACAGCTTATGGTGCGAGTCAAATCAAATCCCTTTGAGGAATGAATTTTGGTTGAGAAATTGCGAACCAGAAGAAAATTCAAGTTCTTCGTGTAACCTAATCCTTTTGGCTGGGTGCCCATCTTCTTTTTTTAGTATTTCTTTTTGTGCCCTCTCATCTAAACCCAAACCTAAGGGGAGGCGATCTCATTGATTGTTACTCATGGTAACACACAGATCATGGTCTCCATCATTTTATTTATTCATTCATTTATTTATTTATTTATTTATAATTCAATTCGCTAACCCCCCCTCTCTTTAATCCCACAAAGCTCTGTTCTTGATGTTTTTGATTATTCTATTTATATGTTTTTCTTTCAGATGGATGTCTGATAAATATGTCTTTCTTCGTAGAATTCTCATTCATTTGATTCCGCGGTTTCTTGGATTGGAATCTCTCTGTTTTCAGAGTCAGACCTATTTGGGTTGGCGTTTTCGACTAGAATTTCTTTCACGCTCTCTTAAAAGGTTGGTTCTTTTTGGGTGATTTTGAAGTTTTACATCTGGGTTATTTGATTCTGCATCAGAGTTAGGGTTTCCCTTAGACAAGTTGAATTGATTAAGTTCCCCAAGTGTTGGAAATTAGTAGCATCCCAGTCCTCTAATTTCGTTTTTGATTGTGAGCATATCGTATCGTCAAGAATATACTTCTTTAATTTGATCGGGGTTTCAAGTTTGTGGAGTTCTTGGCTGGCTCTAGCAAAATGAAGGTGCTTGTATCAAAGTCGGATGTGATTGTAAGCAAATGAGAATTTCATAATGTGTGGGATAAGAAAATTGTTTGCCCATGGATGCATCAGACAAACCGTTAACTGATCTGATAGGTACGCTGAAATCTTGGATCCCTCGGCGGTCCGAACCAGCTAATGTGTCGAGGGACTTTTGGATGCCCGATCAGAGTTGCAGGGTATGCTACGAGTGTGATTCTCCGTTTACCTTACTCAATCGAAGACACCACTGTCGACTTTGTGGCCGAGTTTTTTGTGCCAAGTGCACTCATAATTGGATCCCTGCTAGATCTAGCACTTCAAGTATTATCAGGGAAGAGTCAGAGAAGATCAGGGCTTGCAATTACTGCTTCAAGCAATGGCAGCAAGGCGGATTAGCTGCCTCTGTTGATCATGGGGTCCAGGATTCCAGCCTGGATCTCAGCACCTCACCGTCGGCTATCAGTCTCGTCAGCACCAAATCTAGCGGCACTGCCGACAGTAGCAGCATTACTTTTGCATCTGTGCCACAGTCGGTGTGTTCTTATCATCATAACCATTACCCTCCTGGACTTGGTTCGCACCAGTCTGTGGTAATGGAATCAAATTTAGAAGAGCAAACTGAACTAGCAACGACGAGCAATGAACTACTGCTTGATGTGGGTACTCAGTCTCCTAGCCATTTTGGGTGTTGCATCAACAGGTTTCATTTTTCTCATCACCTCTTTTCTTCGTAGTAACTCCTGCCTCACCTGTGAGGCATGTGCAACATGTTAGAAAAGCATCATGTGTTTCTGTATCTGATACACCATTGAAGCTTAAAATATCTTCATATGAGATCCTGCATATGATTACCTTATGTTTTGGTTCTGTTGTGGCTGTATGCACTTGGAAGATCATACAAATGGTTAGTGGGCAAAATATACTTTTGAGTACATTGACGATGTTCCTCGAGGATTACTCACATCTTACAAGCGTATCTACTTATTATGCTGAATTAGTGAATTACTATATAATCTAACGTGTAAATATGTGATCTCTTCATGAATTTGCATGTTTGTATGAATTTTGAGTTCTGATGGTATACACTTCATTATACGTGTCATCTGATGATGCCTATGTCATTTGGAAGAGGGTCTGTGTTATACTGGAATTAAGCTCGTGGTAGTGTAAAGCTTCCTGTTGTGATAACGTAATCAGGTTTATGTGATTTCATCATCAATATATCTGAAGATCCTTGACCATTATTATTATTTTTTTGTTTGGAACATTAATCGGCATTTGGATGTCCGTATTGAGAGTTTAAAAGTTACATGAATGACTTGGCGGTATTGGTGTGGTTACGTATATATTTTTATCAATTTTTTGTCTTATAAACAGTCGATTGTCCTTGTCTTTAATTTTCCCCAGGGGTGATGATTTTGATGAAGAATTTGCTTATCAACTAGCCACTGGTGGAAGAGGTCTTTTGCAGATTGATAATAGCTATTATGATGAATTACCATTGGATGATATGGACAACGACTATGGATCTCATAAAGTGCACCCTGATGGAGAAGCTGCTGATGCAAAAAGTGTGAGCAGCTCTTCCTTACAAACTAGTTTTGATTCTAGGGTCTCTGAGGTGGTCCAACCACTTGAAAAAAGAGAGGATGCACGTGATGTCAGTGATGAATGTGAAGCTCCGTCCTCTTTGTATGCTGCTCAAGACGTTGCTGAACCTGTGGATTTTGAAAACAACGGGGTCCTATGGCTGCCTCCTGAACCCGAGGACGAAGAAGATGAAAGAGAAGCCCTGTTATTTGATGACGACGACGACGATGGGGATGCCGCTGGAGAGTGGGGATATCTACGCAGTTCAAGCAACTTGGGAAGTGGGGAGTGTCGCAATAGGGATAGGTCAAATGAAGAGCACAAGAAAGCCATGAAGAATGTGGTTGATGGGCACTTCAGGGCTTTAGTATCTCAGTTGTTGCAGGTTGAGAACCTTGTGGCAAGCGAGGAAGATGATAAAGATAGTTGGTTAGAAATAATTACATCTCTATCGTGGGAAGCTGCATCTTTGTTAAAACCAGACACTAGCAAAGGTGGGGGAATGGACCCAGGAGGATATGTGAAGATAAAATGTCTAGCCTCTGGGCGTCGCTGTGACAGGTGCTGATTTTGGTGGTCTACATGTTTGAACATCCTTATTCCTTCCACCTTACAATAATTTTTATATTAACTCAGTAAAGGCATGCTTGACTGCAAGCATAATCATGCTTGGTCAGCCAAAATACCTTGTCCTAAGAGTGTTAACTTGAAGTAGGGTCTGGGGTTAATGATGACCCTAAGAGTGTTTCACATGGATACACCAAATATTTCGTTCTCAATAAGATAGAAATTATTGAAACTTAATAAGATACTTTCAACTTTGCAAGAGAAGCAAGTATGATAAATTAGGATTAAAACTTCATTCACAATCTAAATTGAAATTCCTTTTCTACGTCTGGGAGTTTTATTTTTAGTTTCACATGGCCAGCATGCTAATAGTGAATGGTGCGAGTTGGTGAGTGTGCCAGAGGCATCATGCAATTTCCTCCCTTGGTCAATGCTGCTTTGTCCCTTTTTTAAGCTTTATAGCTTCAAAATCCATCATGGATAAGGCAGTTTATTGTCATGGAAGAAAGCCTTTTGAGCCAAATCAATATGAATGGAAGATGCGTCTGGAACACTTCCACTTTTAAAACTTTGTGAGAGAAGGACGGTGATCGAGCTCTTCCATCTCCAGTCCCAGTTTTTGGCTAAAACCCCATAACGAGCTTTAGTCCCCTTTCGTTTGTTGCCATTTTCTACGGCATCCTAGATAACTTACCTTTCAACTTTACAAGCCTACTTTTCTAATTCTCCCTATTCTTTTAACTAACACTCTTAACCCACAGAACCGCACCCCCCAGAAAGAAGTGATTGGGCAGTTAGTCTTGTGCAACGGGTGGGCGACAAAAAAGTTTTGCCTCCCCATGCGTGGTTTCCCATGTATTCTGAAAAAACCGAGGAACAAAATAACAAGTTTCTTAACTGCCTTTTGGCAAAACAGAAGCAGAAATTACACCTTGTAGCTCATCTTTAACTTTGCCCTTGTGTTTTGGTGCAAGCATGGCTACTGCTTTCCACTTTAGCAGAAAAATGGGAGAAGTTATTTAAAAAAAGGAAGTCTTTGAGTGTTTGATCTATATTGTGATGTATATCTCAATTCTCTCAAGTGCCAGAGACAAGGGAAACTCAATTGCATTTAGGTGTAACATAGTTTGGTGTTTAAATAACTTAATTTGATTAGTCACGACCGTACTTGGTCAATTGGTTGTATGTATGTCGGTTTTAAATCATTATCTTGCATATCCTTTCACATAAACATTTCCATTTAGGTTTGCACCGCTGTTCTCCTTCCTCATTGCATCACTTTTTGCTCTTGTTTTCTCTTCTTTCCATTTTTTTGAAGTTTATATACTTCTGCTTTCCTGTTCTTATGTTGATATAATTTTTCAGTGTCGTGGTCAAAGGAGTTGTTTGTAAGAAAAATGTGGCTCATCGACGGATGACTTCAAGAATCGAAAAACCTCGTTTCTTAATTCTTGGAGGGGCTCTCGAGTATCAGCGTGTTTCTAACCACCTGTCAAGTTTTGATACTCTGTTGCAGCAGGTTATAGTTTTTCTTTTATTCTACTCCTTGTGTTTGTACGTTACCTTTTATCCCTGCTAGAGTGTTTATTGGGCGTGAAACTTTTTATTTAGCTTTAATGCTTTATATATATATATATGGCATTGTCTCTGTCTAGGAAATGGATCATCTAAAGATGGCTGTGGCAAAGATAGACGCACACCAGCCTAATGTCCTTTTGGTGGAGAAGTCAGTTTCACGTTATGCACAAGAATATCTTCTTGCAAAGGACATATCTCTTGTTTTGAATATCAAAAGGCCACTTCTGGAGCGAATAGCCCGATGCACAGGTGCTCAGATAGTTCCTTCAATTGATCATCTCTCATCACAGAAGTTGGGATACTCCGATATATTTCATGTTGAAAGGTTCGAGGAAGAGCATGGAACTGCCGGACAGGGTGGGAAGAAGCTGGTGAAGACACTGATGTACTTTGAAGGATGCCCAAAGCCATTTGGTTGCACTGTAAGCGATTGCCATTTATTAAAAAGAAAACAATAGCTATTGAGTAGTATATTGCTTACATTGTGTGATGTTCTACTAGACTTCGAAGCATTTATATCTTGATAGCTGAAAAACTTTCAAATTTTAGCATGTTGGTGGTGATTTGCTTATTAACGTACGATAATTTAAATTGTTTTACTTATTGGCATTTTCAGATATTACTCAGAGGTGCCAGTGGTGATGAACTGAAGAAAGTGAAGCATGTTGTTCAGTATGGAGTTTTTGCTGCTTATCATTTGGCTTTGGAGACTTCTTTTCTTGCCGACGAAGGAGCCTCACTGCCAGAGCTCCCCTTGAATTCTTCACTGACTGTGGCACTTCCTGACAAAGCATCAAGTATTGACAGGTCCATTTCAATCATTCCTGGTTTTACTACCCCCATGGCTGAGACATCTCAAGGTCATCAATCCTGTGCTGAGCCACCACAATTGAACAGTGTCTCCATGTCAGCTATGTTCTCTTCTATAATTAGCCAAAAGTCTGAAGTAATACAGTTGTCTGTTGGACCAAATGCTCCAAACATTCAAAGTACAAAGCCGTGTTCCAATACTGGCAGCTCTGCCACATTCTTGTGCTCTGTTCCTTCTTCAAAATTGGATGTTTCAGAAGCTACTGGCCATGAGCCAGCTCCTTCTAGAGCACCTGGGGATATAACACACAGTTCCTCTGAGGTAGTTACTTCTTCATCCAACAGTGAGCAAGTTGGGGGGGACCGTCATGTTGGAGATGGTTTTGAGCCTCCACAGGCACAAAGCTTTCACAATAGCAAGTGCACAACTAATGTGGACCATGGTCCCTCAGAGGGATTCGATGGAAGGAACGCCAAGGAGGATTCTGCTACTTCAAAGGAAGAGTTTCCTCCGTCACCTTCGGATCATCAAAGCATTTTGGTTTCCTTGTCATCACGTTGTGTGTGGAAGGGAACTGTTTGTGAGAGGTCCCATTTGTTCCGCATCAAATATTATGGGAACTTTGATAAACCACTTGGCCGCTTTCTCCGTGATGATTTGTTTGATCAAGTACGGCAACGTCCTGTCTTTCTTCACTATATATATATATATGTAGCGTGTATATCTATATATATATATATATATATGTGCATGTGTATGAATGTTATGTATGTGTGCATCCTTCTCTCTCATGTATTTCCTATGTTTTGGGTTTGACATGCCTTATGCATCAACCTTGTTCTTGTTCGACAGGGTTACAGATGTCGTTCATGTGAGATGCCATCCGAAGCACATGTACAGTGTTACACTCATAGACAAGGCACCCTAACCATATCTGTGAAGAAGTTGCCTGAATTTCTCTTACCAGGAGAAAAGGAGGGTAAGATATGGATGTGGCATAGGTGTTTGAGATGTCCCCGGACTAGTGGTTTCCCTCCTGCCACTCGAAGAATAGTGATGTCAGATGCTGCATGGGGTTTGTCCTTTGGCAAGTTCTTGGAGCTCAGTTTCTCCAACCATGCTGCTGCCAGCAGGGTTGCAAGCTGCGGCCATTCTCTACATCGGGATTGTCTACGCTTTTACGGGTACTTCCTTGATCCTGCATTTCAACACTTATTTTGCTCAGGGAATATTAATGCTTGTCCCTTCTTATAGAAAACGCTAAAAGACAACACGGATGATTTATGGTTTTATACTTTATAGGTCTTTGATTTGAATGATGCCTAACAGACCGCTTGTATATGAATTTGACGAAATCAAGTTTGAAGTTTATACCTGCACTCTAAATAAGATACTCATCACCATTTTCTACGGTATAAAATGATGTTAAAAGGGACTTATAGGGGTTGCCAGTCATAGCTATAGGAAGAGGGAATCCAACTATCGCAATTCAATCATAGGGCTAAACGATGAAACTTGTCTTTTTCTCTATATTCTGTATCATAAATGTTATGGTCACATATGCAGCTTCGGGAAAATGGTTGCCTGCTTTCGTTATGCATCTATTGATGTCCATTCTGTCTACCTTCCTCCTCATAAACTTGATTTCAAATATGAGAATCAGGAGTGGATTCAACATGAAGTGGCCGAGGTTTGATTATTATATTATATGAGTTTTCATTGCATTAGGTGAAATATGTCTTTCTAATTTTATGCTTGAACAGGTTGTTTCCCGCTCAGAGCTATTATTTTCGGAAATTCTTAATGCTCTGAGCCAGATGGCCGAGAAGAGACATGTGACAGGGTCAGCTAATGGTAATACAAAAATGCCCCAATCAAAACGACAAATAGCCGATTTGGAAGTGATGTTACGAAAGGAAAAAACAGAGTTTGAGGTGAACCCAGCTTTGTTGGTTATTAATTTTGGCAGCTTGTTTGATACATTGCATTAATACTAACTATAACAGATGTGTTATACGGGGTTTTGGAAAATCTTGAAAGCTTGGTATGAGTAGGTGCTACCTGGGCAGGGTGCTTTTAGGCTTTTGGAAGTTAATATGTGAATAATGCTTGAGAAATTTTCAGTGGCAGTGGGGGAGAGAGATGAGTGTTCTGTTTTCCAATCAAGAGTGTGGTAACAGAATTGCAGTCCATTTTGAGTGCTCATTAAGGATTTCAGTTGCCTATAATTATTAATTTACGGTCTTGAGGATTCCAATAAGAGGCTTTAATCAACTTTGTGATATTCTTGCAGGAGTTGCTGCACAAGATTTTAAACCAGGAGGTGAAAAAAGGCCAGCCTATCATTGATATTCTTGAGATCAACCGACTGCGGAGGCAGCTTCTCTTCCAATCTTATGTGTGGGACCATCGACTGGTGTATGCATCTAGTGTTGATAGCAATAGCCCTCGAGCTGATCTGAATGATTTGGAATCAGAACATGGAGATAAGCCCAATGAAACACTTGTCGATGCAAAGTTAGCTGCTGATTCTGTAGATGGCTGTGAGACTACTACTGTGAAGCTGATTCACAACCAGGAAAATGGAACAGGTGTCGATATCAGCCAGCCTGAAGGAATCAGCAAGGAAACTGAAGTGGATGTAAATTCAAGTCCAGTAGAGGAAAACGAGTCTGCCCTCTCTGCTGGTATCAACAACTGTGAACAGTCTGATCCATTAATATCCAACGTAGGTGTCCGTAGAGCCATCTCTGAAGGGCAGTTTCCTGTCCTGGCGAGTTTGTCAGACACACTTGATGCAGCCTGGACAGGTAATCATCCAGGATGTGGGTTCCAAAAGGATACTGCTTCTGTATTGTCTGATTCAGATCTGACAGACTCTTCAGTGGCTGATAAGCTGGACAAGGGAGATCGTGTGGAAGAGCAAGGTGGGACTAAGGCATCACTTTTATCTCCTGTATGGTCTACCAAAGGTTCTGAAAGTATGGAAGATTCAACTAGCTGGTTGGGTATGCCATTTCTGAACTTCTACCGCTCATTAAACAAAAACTTTTTAGCAAGTTCTCAGAAACTGGACACACTCAACGGCTATAATCCTGTCTACATCTCGTCCTTTCGACAATCAGAACTCCAAGGTGGGGCTAGGTTGCTTCTAGCTGTAGGCATCAATGACACTGTGGTACCAGTGTATGATGATGAACCCACAAGTATCATATCCTATGCGTTGCTTTCCCCTGAGTATATCGCCCAGGTGTCTGATGAGTTTGAGAGACCAAAAGATGGTGAACCTATCTTTTCGTCACAATCTGTTGATTCAGCAGCATTTCAGTCCTTCAGTAACTTCGATGGACTGACATTGGAATCTTTTAGAAGTTTGGGGGACGATAGTATTTTATCCATGTCTGGATCTCGTACCTCTCTAATGTCAGATCCTTTGTCACAGACAAAGTCTTTGCATTCAAGAGTTGAATTTACAGACGATAGTCCTCTTGGTAAAGTAAAATACGCAGTGACTACTTACTATGCAAAACGATTTGAAGCCTTAAGGAGGATATGTTGCCCTTCTGAAATGGATTATATAAGGTCTCTCAGCCGTTGTAAGAAGTGGGGTGCCCAAGGTGGTAAGAGCAATGTCTTCTTTGCGAAAACATTAGATGATCGGTTCATTATCAAGCAGGTTACAAAGACGGAGCTGGAGTCATTCATAAAATTTGCTCCTGCATACTTTAAGTATCTATCCGAATCAATTGGCACCGGAAGTCCTACATGCCTGGCAAAGATTTTGGGCATTTATCAGGTACTTGTCTTGTTATTTTCTGTTTCGATTAGGCTAAATAACCGGTGAACTCAACTGAGTAGGTGTTGCTACATCCCTGTACTTGGATGAAAAGTTCATCTCTTTCCGATGACTTCGTTATGTATTAGGGTTCACATCAATCTAAAGTCTTCTGGTGAAAGAACACATAAGATAGATAAAGATAAAACGGCTTAATATAGTGTCAGTCTTTTAATGGTGTTCTCATTTCACTGCTGCCAAAGAAAACACGAAGTAAGTTCACTTTTACTAGAGAGGGAGTTTTTGCTGATGTTAATTTCCTGTTGTGGTTGATTTAGTAATGCTGTACTACACAAGCATCCTGTTCTCTTTGTCGAAGAAAGTTTATGACATTGCATGCAATTCATATTGTGCATAATATTCTCTGGAATTTGTTTTAAGGTCACTAAGCATATGAAAGGGGGGAAAGAAACCAAAATGGATGTGCTGATCATGGAGAATCTTCTGTTCGGAAGGAATTTATCACGGCTTTATGATCTTAAAGGATCGTCAAGATCACGGTATAACGCTGATTCTAGTGGAAGCAACAAGGTTTTGCTGGATCAGAATTTGATTGAAGCGATGCCAACTTCTCCTATTTTTGTTGGTAACAAGGCGAAGCGATTGTTGGAAAGAGCTGTCTGGAATGATACTGCTTTTCTTGCTGTAAGTTCACTTTGTTAAATTGTTGACAAACCAAGCCTCTTATAGTTTATTCCACGTGTTCTTTCCTTTATCCATTTAAGACTGGGATGAACATCTTCTGCTTGCTACTGAGTTCAAGTAGAAGTTGTTTTCCCCTTCTAATAATGAACATTTTATGCATTTCTCCTTGTCATTGCACTGAAGTGAGCCAAAGTCTTTCAATAATAAGTTTGTGTGATTGAGATTGCAGTCGGTTGATGTAATGGACTATTCTTTGCTGGTTGGCGTAGACGAAGAGAAGCACGAACTTGTTCTTGGGATTATCGACTTCATGAGACAATATACTTGGGATAAGCACCTAGAAACATGGGTGAAGGCTTCTGGCATCTTGGGTGGTCCCAAGAACGCGTCTCCAACGGTGATTTCACCCAAGCAGTATAAAAAGAGATTCAGGAAAGCCATGACAACCTACTTTTTGATGGTCCCTGATCAATGGTCTCCTCCTAGCCCTAATCTTGTACCCAGCAAGTCCCAAACAGATATATGTGAAGATAACAACAGCCAAAGTGGGAGCTGTGCAGCTGATTGATGCTTGCATTGTATATTTTGAGTCTATATCCATTACATCCCCTTTCTAAGTTATATATAATTTTTATTTTTGAGCAGTGGCTTCATCTTATATTTATTCTAAAAAAGGATGACAATTTTTGTGCTGCAAATGCAATGGATATATATTCATCTGGAGGGGAGGTGGTGTTTTTAGGGGGGTGTTGTAGTATTGTTTTATTATTTGACCTTGCAAATATAGCTTTGTAAATTACTGTCTCAATATGTATATTGATGCATTTGCATCCGTTGTAGTTGATATGTTTTCTAATCTTTGGAATAGCCATCACAACGAATATCTTTATTTTTTTTCCATATTTTGGGGTCTTTGAAAAGAATGATTCCTGTTACTGTTTGTTTCTTTTGTATTTCCTTCTCCATTCTCATTTCATTTCCAATGTCGTTGTCAAATCAAACTTTTATCTTGTTTTTCCCCCCTTCTACTCCATAAAAAAGATGAAAGAATTTTATGTATTGTCCCATATAAGCCGGTAAATTTGCAGGTAGAGTGCTTCTTTATGGTGGGTGGGGGCTACTGCTCTGTGAACCCATGATAGTGGTTCAGAAGGAAATGGAAAGTAAAAGGTAACAGAGAAATTGATGATTTTTTATTTCATTAATTATACACAAACTCACAACTGCAGCATGCAATTGTATTTATATAGGAGAGACATGTACGTACATACATACATACACACACATATACATACATAGAGAGAGAGAGAGAGAGCAAGGGACAGTCTTGAATTCCTGTGGGGTTGTGTTTGTGAGCATAGAAATTAACAGGGATGCTTTAATTTATTTAAGTCAGATGAACCTCCCTCCTTTCATCTCTAGGGAGAGAGAGATAAGGGGGTATAGAGGAGTTAGAAGGCGTTGTCCATTCCATATGGTTAGTTGGGATTCCCAGCAGCAGCAGCAGCAGCAGCATCTATAACTTGAAGAAGGAGACTCCTATTCAGAAGACGAAGGATGTCTTGTTGACTTGTGCTATATACAGGAATTTCAATGAATCATGGGAAGGAAATTTAAAAAGAAAATGGAAAATGAAAATGAATGTAAGGTACCTCTGATTATAAGTAGGAGAGAATGTCTGATGATGATGAAGGGTAGCAAAACGAGGTCCTTCATCATATCCTTCACATGTTATCTCCCCTTTATCATCCAAGTAGCATACTATGCCTCTAGATTTGTCTTCAAAAACCTGCCAACCCCTCCTTTAATTTCTCTTTATATATATATATATATGCATCTATAAAAAGAGAGAGAGAGAGAGAGAGAGAGAGAGAGAGAAGAATATACCTTTTGTATATTGATGGAGGATCCGATCTGAATGAGAGATGAAGATGTGTTTTGGGTTGCAAGCATTGATATTCTTGTGGAAGTCTTCTTGATGGTATGAGGGGGGTGATGAATTAAGAACAAGGGTGATGAACCCATAGCCATCTTGATTATAGAAGAAAGAGAAAGGGGAGAGAGTTGAGCATTAAGATGTGGTGTAGTGCTGCTATATATATATATATATATATATATATTACACACAATAGATGTAGACAAAGAAATAGTTAAACAGTCTTGAAATTGACTTTGTAGTGGTTAAAGTAGAGTAGAAGTAGCAGGTTTCTATTCTAGTATTAGTATCAGACCTTCCAGTTCCAGTCCTGAGTGAAGTACATAACATCACGCACACATGAAATTTATATAGATCAAAAATGTAAGAAGAAAAGGATAATAATGTAAATATTAATATGTATAAGTACGAAAATAATAAAATGAGGTGTGTATAGCAAGCAATTATATATATATATATATATATATATATATATTTATATGGGCAGGAGAAGGAAGAGTTAAGATTATGTTATATGGGATGGGGGTGCTTATCTTTACACTGTTGATGTTGACAACATTTTCAATTTTAAACTTAATTTCTATTGAGTGAGTGGCCCTTAATTATTTCTCCTTTTTTTAATATCTACTTGTTCTTTTCTTTTAATTATTTAAAATTTAATTAATTAGACAATATTATCCATCTTTTTGTTTTACTATTTCAACTTATACAAAAACCTGATGTGATTTTTGTTATACTATAAATATCATTGTCAATTCGATTGAAAATAATATTTTCTAGGCACTTAATTATTGTTTGTAGAAGTGGGCATCACCTAATATAATTCATTTTTTAAATGCAAAAATTAATGTCAAGTTTAAGTTTTTATATATAACTGTTGCTTTCACTTGTAACATATGATGTTTAGATCACTTCACTCTTCAATCATTCAGGTTTTAAGAGTGTATTGCTTGGAAACAAAATCTCAATCCTGCCCAAGAGTAACACCAACGGTTGCAGGTACCAAATATTCAAGAACGCTTGCTTCAACCTAGAATGAAGGGAAAAAGGCGTCAATAAGAAACCCTTTAACCTTTTACTCCAAATCCAAATCCAAATCCAAATCCATATAATATATATATATATATATATATATATATATATATATATATATAGCAACCAACATGGATTTCCAGAATATGTCTAGTGATGGCAAATGCTTAGATATATGTTCTGTCAACCAGAAACACAAAATCATCAAGATTCTTGGCTCTAAACAGACAACTAACAAAAAGTTTGGCAAAGCTGTAAAATTTCTTTTACTCCCATTTATTCCTTGTGAATGAAGCCTCATAACATCATCTAATCACGGAACTCATCCATGAACTTCTTGTGGAATTCTGTCAACCTTGAAACTATGGCTGGAATCTTTTCTTCCTGAGGCAATATCGTGCACCTAAAATGCCAGGTTCCAGGGACCTGTCACAAACCAACCAATAACAATTCATCGCTTGAGAACCATCAATACACAGATCTTCCGTTTGCTCTAATTCAATCTAATAGTAACAGCTCTCACCTGACCAAAACCGGAACCAGGAACCACAACGATACCAGTGGCATTCAGGAGGCGGCTAGCATAATATGCATCCGGTGCTTTTTTAGCTGCTTCTGCTTCTTTTATTGCTTTGTTGGGCAGCCGAATGCGTGGGAAAAGATACATTGCACCTTCTGCTTTGTTGCAACTAACACCCTCTAAGCTGTTCAGTGCATCTTCCAATGTCTATTGTTCAATAATAGACAAAAAACTCAAAATAATAAGGAAATCCCTCAAGTTAAATATTGATCATCATAATAGTAACACATCCCAAATAAAAGAGTCGATGTGAAAGCAGTGATGAAATATTAATTTCTGAGCTCAAAGAGCTTAGTGAAAGCACACCAGAAATATGACATCGTTTTACGTCCAACAAGCCACCCCCAATTCACACTCTTCTACTATGAATAGCCTATAAGTTTATCGATCTGAACTAACCTTTGCACGCCTTGCTAGTGATTGTAGGATGCCATCTCTTTCCGCAAAATAGGAATCATAGGATTCATCTCCAACCTGCATACATGCAAATGTTGATGTAGAATTTGCCACATGTCACATCATTAAACCAAAAAGATTGAGAGAAACAGACAAACCGACCAACCTTAGGAGGGCTCATAACAAGGCTTGCAAGAATTTGACCAGAAATATTTGAACACAGGTTCACAGATGCCACCTTGTAAATTTGCTCCCTAACCTCTGGACTAAAACCAGTGACCTCCATGTAACCTCCTCTTTTCCCACATTCACCATAATACCCTTAAGGGAAACAATGTTTTAGTCAAATTCAATAATTTGCATGGCTCGTCTTATTAGGTTCATCAAATCAATACCGTGTAGCACTGTGTTCACAGAAAAACTACCTTTAGACACCGACTGAAACGAAACCAAGGGGATATCCTTGTCGCCATATCCCATTGAACGAGAGACTTTCTTAAACGAGTGAAATTGTTTATTGGGGGCATAGATGTTTTCCTGGTATACCTGCATAATGTCCATGAATATCGTCAGATACCGTACACAGACGGATCGAATTGTATAGGGTACACCCTGCATAAATGATGCTTTGACTAAATTGTCTTGGAAGAGCTTAAAGCCTCAGCCTCAAATATCAAGAATCACAAACCCATACAAGTCTGGGGATCTTGTAGAATGCTTTACCTCATCTGCTAGAAGAACCAAACCCTCTTTCTTGCAGAACTCCACAATATCTCGTTGGTTCTCCTCAGCAAGAACCTAGATAGACATTTAAAAAATGAATAAACTATCAGAAGAAAGAGAAAATACATTGATTACTGCTTTCAAAACTAATATATAGTTACCTGGCCTGTAGGGTTTCCTGGATTAATCACAACCAAGGCCCTAACAGTAATACCATTTTGTCTAGCGATTTCCAGTTGCTTCTTGAGCTCAGAGACCTCAAGTCCCCACCCTGTTGCTTCATCGAGATAATAAGGAACCTGAAATCATTATGTGTTCTTTATTATGTTTCTCATGAATATGGTTAAACAAAGTCGATCTTCAACACAACTTTCCACTTGCTTTATTTTCAAGTTTTCAACAAAAACTTATATCAGGATGGTATCCACTATGGAACAAACATATAACTTCTTTCAACTAACTAGAATATAGCACTATATGCATCTACCCAAACCAAACCAAACAGAGTTATATGCATAATTTATGTAATCATTTATTTTGTTTAACTTAGCTCACCATATATTTTTGTGTGGGATGACAGCAAACTAATTTAAGCAGAGGTAAATAGAGCAAAAAATTTAGAACTCAAATGCAGTAAAAAGAAAGACAGTACAACAATGTAGACATTAGTTACAGGAAACAAAAACACATACAAGAGTGCCACCGTGAAGAGCGATTGAAGCAGAGTAAAGAGGGTACTGAGGAATTGGACAGAAAATTCCATCCTTCTCTGATCTTATTAGTAACTGCATCATCATATGGACCTGGTATAGAAAGATTATACAATCTGTAATCAATTTTGACATGTTCCACTCATTTCAAAACATTTTCTATGTATCACAACTATAAGACCACAGAAAACTCTTTACCGCTGGACTAGCACCATCTGTCAGAAAAATATCATTTGGATCAGCAGAAAAACCATCACGAGCCTCAATGCCAGCAGCAATGGCATCACGCAATCCCTTAATACCCTGATACCAATTACAAAAGAAAAGTTAATACTTCATAAGCTACACCCTTAAATTGCAGTTGAACATCTACATGAAAAATAGATGCTCAGTTAACAGCCTATACCATCTCCTTTTCCTGTTTTACTCCCATCATATATTTAATATCTAAAAGCTGCAACCGGAAGGCAGTTTTACCTGACTGTGACTATATGCACCAGTAGCCCTTCCAGGAATTTGATCCAGGATCTGCCATGCTCGCTCAATGGAATCCGCACTATAAGAGTTCAGCACCGAAAGTCACAGTGAGATGTTAGGCATGTAGGCTAAACTATTAAAGTTAAGATACATACATACATACATATTATATATATGGGTGAGTTAACACGAGAACACCGCCAATTTATGAAAACATGAGAACACTCATATCACATGTGATAATACACCAGATATACCAATGTTGTGCCAAAACAAAAACACGGATACGCTGGAAATACATGTGTGTGAGTATGCATGTCATCTATTGATGATAATAATAATACTGATTCTTGAGATTAGAGATATTAATGAACTATGTTTAATGATACACAAGCCACAAGAGGCACCGGTACTACAATGCACATAGAAACTTGGGGGAGGTTACATATTTGACACCAGTTTAAATGTATCCTACCTAAACAAGCCCTGTGTTTCACTCTTGTCCAATATGGTGGGATGATCACATAATGCAAGAACCTAGCATGATAAAAATACACATGAGTAACCAACAATTACAATAAACAATTCCTCTTATAAATAGTGTTGAAGCATGCTAACCTCTCTGAAGAAAGTGATTGGCTGTTGACCAAGAGATTGCGGATTCCCAATGTTACAGTAAAGTATCTGCCAAATTTCGAGGGACGTCAACAGTGAAGCAGATATTACACCTTCCTAACAGGACCTGCCATTATAGGCACAAGAAAAAGAGGCAAGCAGTACCAATTTAGAGATGAAGCCTGCAGTGCTACACCTCAAATTTACAGAATTCTACTATACACCCCAAGCTCTAGGCCATCCAAATCCCATTTTGCTTAAAATAAAAGAAAAAAGAAAGCATTGTGATGATGGTACCTCCTCGAAAGGATGAGAACCTGGATTTGCTTGCAAGTCTTGCTGTAATTTCTGTAGCAAATCATCATAATAACATCAAAGAGCAATAACTCAATGGAGCAGAGCACCTATGGTATTCTAAACAAATTTGCCAAGGATTGTAATAACACTTGTGTCAATATATCCATTGATGATAACCTCCCCAATATAATATGCCAAACATGGTTGGTTGATTTTGGTTTTCTGATAGATATAATGCATTTTTAGTACCTGAGCCAGAGAGACGATTTCACCACGTACAGCATATTCACATTTCAAGACCTGGCAATAAAGGGGAAAACAATAGTACAAATGTCATTCTAGTAACATTCTTTTCCGGATGTAATGCAATCAGTTCAAAGTTACTAAGTCGTTTAGAATTATTAAAATCTTAATGAATTTGGTTTCTAGTCAGTTGATGGTGGTGTTGTCAAGAGTATAAATAAGAAATTTTCACAAAGCTCATTCTAGCATTTTTGTTTTTGTTTTTTTTGTAGGAGCAATGACATAAGCTTTATTGGTGTTGTAAATATTGTTTTAAGATTGGTCATGCGTAAAAGAAAAGGGCCTATTGATGATGTACATCTCAAGTTTATGGATCCATCTTGATGATGTACATCATGGAAACGCATATTGCAAACATAAAAACGTAATAGTTGACTTTTGAGACAGATTTTATTTTGAATCCAGCAAAAAGATGGTAACTATTAACCAATAGAATAAATGGTATCAGATTTGAACTTAGAAATGAAGATCGACGCGATAAAGATGCAAATTTGAAAAGAATATAAGCTTAGTGGGGGAAAGGGTGATCTGATCTTGTAGCCGCCTCCTCCAAGTAAATGGTTAAGATGCAAATGAAGAAAGTAATAAGCTTAGTTAATAAGAAAGATCTCAAGTGATGAAGAAGAAAAGACCAGACCTTTGGGTTGAGGGATTCAACAGTAAGAGGCGGCGCAGACTTGTCGGAAGACATGGATGTGGATGAATCAAGAGAAGTGAAGAATCGATTGAGGGTACGAGTATAATAATAATAATAAAAATCTGAGGAAGAGGAAGAGGAAGAGGAAGTTGGATGAATACGATGGGGAGTGAAAAGGGAGGCGGTGGCTTTGGTGATGATGGTTTTGGCTCTGTGTGCTACGAATTTCCGCATGGCGGTGTTTGTTTTTAAGACGTCTGTGGGAGATATAGGGGGAAGGAAGGCCACGCAGAAGCTTCGTATTCTATCTCTCACACACCCAATTCAAACGGGGGGCGATTCGCAGCCGCAGAATGGTTATTCTCCATCTTTTCAATTAAACCCCCCGCTTTCTTTTTCAACCATTTTATTAAATTCAATTTAATACCAAACAGTCCCTCTAGTTTGCTGGAAATCTGACCCCCCCCCCTTTTTTTTTTTTTTTAAGTTTTCATCCGTAACCCACTATTGTTTTCGTCGATTCATTACAACAATTAAATAAGAAATTGTTTGGTAGTTGTTGAATGGTTTGATGTAAAATGATTAAGTAAAAACTTGTTTAATTTATATGAAATCAAATGCATATATAGGTGATGTTACCATAAATATTTGGTCAAACGTACAAACAATAAAATCATATTACAATAATTGTAACCCTGTTAGAAAAACGACTGGCCATTGTAAAATCCATCATAAAGTTGACTCAAATATGACATTTTTTTGCGGTAGCCACATAGCACCTTCGATGAAGGAGTCGACCGTGAACCTCCCGGCCTCGCTGTCTGTTAGGATGGCCTTATACCCATCCCATGTCACCCGTTTGTCTACAGCAGCACCTGCCCCGGTGTTGAGATACTCACCATACAATATGGACTTAGGTGGGTCAACACCCTGCACCCATGAAATCCAGCCCGACGGGTGCAGAAAGCTTCCAATATTCGACTGCATAATGACGGTGGTGGAGAAGTCCTTCCATGGCCGGCCAAGGTATGTTGGAGCCGTGAGGTTGTCAAAAGGGGAAATGTCACATTTTTGGATGGAAATACCCGTGTTTTGATTCGGATCTTTCTTTCCCTGAGCCGTGATGGTGACGAATTGCCTTGGTAATGGTTGGCGTGGCATAATCTTGCAGTTCTGGAAGACGACGGCTGCATTTCCAAATATGAAATCGATGGTTCCAGTGACGTCACAATCACGATAGAACTGACGGTTGGAATGGGGATAGAGGGTGTCTTGAAACGCATCAAACGAACATCTGTACAACACCGAGAAATCTGAACCAGATCGGAAAGCCACTGCCTGGTGCTTTTCTGCACCCGCCGTGTTCTTGAATCCCATGTCTATTGCAACGAACCCTCTTCCAGCGACAGCTGTTCACAAGATCTCTTAGTTTAATAAACTATTCCAAATCACATCCCAACCTAAACTTGCACATGACATGGATGGTGTTGGTGATATTGTCAGAAATTGGGCATATGGTACAACAAACCATGTGGATGGGTACCCACAATTCAGTTTTAATTTACTAAAGTGTTGATGATTTTTCCCTTTCATCTTTCGAAAGAAAGCTTCTAGCTTGATCTGGACCCCAAAAAAAGAACATTCTTTAACAATGTCTTGGTAATGGCATCTAATCTAACTAAGGCATCATACAGTAAGAAATGAAGAAGCTTACGTACCGAAAGTGGCGGTGGAAAAAGTTGGGATGCCATCGATGAAATTCAGTCTGGCGGAGACGATGGATTTATCTTTGCCGTCGCCGTAGATCATGACATTCCAGAAGGATTTATCCAAAACAACATTCTCCAGATACACGCCTTCCTTGATGTGTATTATGAACATTGTCTTGCTCTTCTTTGGTACCCTTGCCATTGCTTCTTTAATGGTGGTAACATCTCCGGTGCCGTCGGCGGCCACCGTGACGTTGGGCGTGGGTCGGCCCACTTGAAGCAACCTCCGGACACCAGGAGACACCCATTCCGGAAACTCCCCCAACAACTTTCTGTGCATCGGGAGGTTTAATTTCCTCAAAATCCCAGAGATCTTGGAAACAATAGCCAAACTGTTGCTGGCATAGTGTGTGGAATTCTGCATCAGAGACTTGGTGTCTGCAAGTAAAGTCGAAGAAGGATCGATTTCTTGCAGAGCGTCCAAACAGGTATCTTGATTGGTGAGAGCAGTGCTGAGCCATGTTTTGAGGTCTTCGATTTTGGTAAGGGTGAGCAACTTATCATCAGCGGATTTGAGATCCATGGTGGAGATGGAATCACGAAGATAATCAAGGGCGTCGTCTAAAAGGGTGGCGCAAACTTGCAAAGCTTGTTTGAGGGTGTCATTGGTGGTTGATTTGATGAAAGAGTGAGGGAAGGAAGAGGATAAGGCGGAGAGGGAATTGAAAACGACTTGCAGAGAGAGTTTGAGGAGATGTTCAGGGTCGGTGGAGTTGGATTGATCGAGTTGGGAGATGGAGGAGTAGCAAGAATCAGGATAGAGAGTCTGGCTACAGACGGCCTTGATGGATTGGGCGGAGGAGGAGGAGGAGGGGGAGGCATCTTTATGGTTGTTGCGTTTGTGAAGGAGGGTGGCGGTGACGGCTCCGATGATGAGGGCGAGGAGGAGGAGGAGAGAGAGGATGAGGATGAGGATACGTTTGCGGGTTTTGCGACGGAATGCTTGTTCTTCAGCAGGATCGAGCTTACCATAGCCCTTAAAGGAGCGGATGGTGTCCATAGTTAATAATGGGAGAAGAGTTGTGATTCTAGCTAGGTCTAGTATCAAATCAGTATGTTATGTATGTTTTATATGTCTATTACATAAATATGTTATAGTAAAAAAAGGAAAGGAAACAGGGGGTGGGGGTGGAGTTGAGTTAGATGGTGGGTTGATTATTAAATTGAAAGTTGGCGTTGATTAAGGTAAATCATGTGTGGTGGGGTGTGGCCCACACATGCATGCCATTGCCAAATCAAATGCCAACCCCACCTTTTCTTTTTAATTAATTCATCAAATAATGATTTTAGAAAGCTTTCCCTTTCACTCTCACACATTCACATTCATCTTCACCTAATAATGAGAGAGAGAGAGAGAGAGAGAGAGAAAAAAAAGAATATTTATAATAATCTTTACAATTTACATATGTATTTGGTTGATAGGAAAGAAACTTGTTAAATATAAATAAGACAACCGACATACATAATATAACATAACATTGGTTCATATAAATTATGAATGTAAAGTCAAAGAGTTGAAAATGAAGAAGCTTCCTCTTTCATCTTTTCTATTCCATTTTTATCATTCTAATTCATATATTGATAATAACGTGTTTTAAATATATCTATTAATGAATTCTCAATTATTATTTTTTAACATGCTATATATTAAAATATCACGTAAACACAATTTTCTTTTTTTATCCAACACTTGTTCGATCAAAATCAGACCTTTTATTTGAGTCGGCATTTACCCAATGTTTTTTAATAAAGAACAACCCCTTAAACTATCCTATTCTAAAACCTTCTTCTTTTTTAATGTAGTTTGTGTCTTTTTCTAATACCAAAATAAAAATGTAATTTATCTATGTCCCATCAATCAATCAAATATATCATTATTTTCTTTTAACTAAATTACATTCTTCGTCCTATGGTTTATATGTTTTAATATTTATTGGTTTTTTTTTATATAATGTTTTGAGTCCCGAAATCTAACTTCATCCGAAAAAATTTGTTAATTTAGGGAGGTATTTTGGTTATTTATTTTTTATTAACTTACTCTATTTATTTATTAAACCACAGGGACCAAGAATGTAATTTACTTATCTTTTCCGGTAAGACAACCCATCCTATTCCTTTCTCGGGCCATTACCCACATCTCCAGCTACCCTATACTAGATAACTCTAAGTCTATAACATCCTAAAATTTAGAAAGAGAAATTGTCTTTCCTTACAACAAAAATTTCTATAAAAAAAAAAAAAAAAAAAAAAAAAAAAAAAATTTTACAAACCATAAAGGGAAAGTTCGCTAACCAAGGATAAAAGGCAATAAGTAAAACATAAATAACAACCTAATAATCTAATTTCAAATAAGCTACATTA